ATTTTTTGAGATGTACGATTGTAATAGGATTTATATTTTCTTCCAATCCCGATTGAGGAAAACTTCCTCCGACCATCCTTCACCTTCAGTATGGTGGATTATAAGTTGTGGACATCATCTATATTAAACTTAAATGACGATTATGTCTACGTTTGTGTTAGATATTTTAATATTAAACCACGCATCCATCTATCAGTTTAAGTTTTTGGATTGAATTTTTCAATATAAAATTAGAGCAAGAGGTCATGAGTTCAAATCTTTTCATCCCCTATTAATCTCCTCAATCACATATTTCTACGTTTTAGGCTTACGCCAAAGTCCAGCCAACACGTAAGGGGGAGTATTAGAATCTTTTAAATATAATAACACGCCTTAATCTATCAAGTTAAACTTTTGCTTTGGACTTTCTAATAATACTTTGTAACTCACAGATTTGAAGGGTGGTGAGTAAAAAAATATTAACCATTACAAAAACTCTAGTTGATACTTGCAGGGACTTTATAGTATAATTAACCAATAACAATATGGATATGATACTAATCAATATAATCTATAGTCCTTTAATCTGGAAAGCATATTTCAGATGCTCTGGTGCCTTTGTTAGCCACTGTCTGCTCACGACGTCGGAATGTGCTTGGAAGCTCCACTTTTTTGACTTTGGACGGCTTTGAGTCGTTGTTTGACTTGGGCTTTTTCCAAAGACAACTCCAACTCTTCAATCAGCATACATCTCTCCAGATGCATCCCCTTTCGATCGAGCCTCTTCACCAAATAACAAAGCCAAACAAAAATCTCTCTCCATTGCACAAATTCTCTCTACTCAGGTGCCAAATGGAGCCCTTCCTATTACTCGCTCTTCTCATAATACAAGCTGGGATTAGTTGCGATGCCCTGGATAATCGCTCGTGTGCCCCTTCAGCATGCGGCAAGATTGGTAACTTGAGCTATCCCTTTCGATTGAAGGACGATCCGAAAGGCTGCGGCGACTCGAGATTCGAGCTAGCATGTGAAGATAACCGCACAGTGTTATCTTTATACAGTGGCCGATATCATGTGAAAAAGATAAACCTCCCGGACAACTCTTGGGGTTTCTTTGCTGGTTCGATGGAAGTGGTCGATGTCGGGCTGGACAAGGGCAACTGTTCCTCCCTTCCTCTCCACCAGTTAACGCCCTCCAATTTCAGTGGTGAAGAATATAAACCGTACGGCATCTCTTCTATATTTCCCGTGGTGACCATTATGTCTTGCTCAAAGCAGGTGATATCTCCTTCATATATTGACGTCGAACCATGTATAGCTGTAAAAGGGTATTATTTATACGCTGTCATCGATGCAAGGGCATGGGATATTGAGGATTTTTGCACCATAACCACGTCAATACTTGCAGCAGAATATTTAGGGAAAAAAATAGATGCATCGTCCCGGGAGAATCGTACAATCTCGATCTCCTACAACGACATCCACACTGCGATGGCCGACGGGTTTTTTATCATAGTCTGGCCGCGGCCGTACAAGAAAGCATTTCACTTTTGCTTCTTAGGGTACCGATATGGGGGGAAACGATGCATACCCTACTACAATTGTAAGTATGCCTTTCCATCGAAGAACTTTACCTGATCAATATGCTGATATTTGGGTCTAGCTATAGCTCTTGTGATGAATTAAAATTTATAACACTTGTGATGAACAGTTATTATCCCTATCCATCTTTGCTTCGAAAGTTGTTAATTTATATGTAGGTTTTTAGTTAATTAGGATAATAATACTTCATTCCTTATACGTGCTTTTCATTCATTACTCGGTTCTGATTATATGCCTTAATCTCTTGCTTTCTGTAGACAATTCTTCCTGGGGTACGGCGCTAAATGTTGCACTGAATACAGTTCCTAATGCCGGTTTTGTCATCGGTATGGACGATTCATTTTTACTCACATCCACGAAACACTCACGTACATATATGTGAAGAAAACACTCCTTGTATGTGCTTTATAACAAATAAAGAAGACTATACTTTACACTAATCGTTAAGGCAATTTTCTGCGCAGCTCACTTCCTGGCAGCAAAATTCATATTCGGAGCTCCATGTGTGTTGATACTTCTAGTCTATAAGTGGAAGAGAAGGCACCAAGCAATGGACGCAAACATTGAAGAATTTCTACGAGCTCACAATAACTTTTTGCCCATTAGGTACTCTTACTCGGATATCAAGAAGATCACAAAAAATTTCAAACACAAGTTAGGTGAAGGGGGATACGGATCTGTGTACAGAGGAACACTTAGAAGTGGCAATGAAGTTGCGGTTAAGATTTTGAACAAACCAAAATCTAACGGGCAAGATTTTATAAGCGAAGTGGCCACAATTGGAAGGATCCACCACGTTAATGTGGTGCAACTTGTTGGTTTTTGCTTTGATTACTCCAAACAAGCTCTTGTCTATGATTTCATGCCGAATGGATCTTTGGATAAGCACATTTTCTATAAGGATGGGAATAATTCTCTTGATCATAACAAAATGTATAAGATCTCTCTTGGCATAGCTAGAGGGTTAGAGTATCTACATCGAGGATGTGACATGCAAATTCTACACTTTGATATCAAACCTCACAACATTCTCCTAGACCAGAAATTCATTCCGAAAGTTTCTGACTTTGGACTTGCGAGACTTTACCCCACCGATCACAACATAGTATCGTTGACTGCAGCAAGAGGAACTTTGGGATATATGGCACCTGAACTATTCTATAAGGATATTGGCGGTGTTTCTTACAAAGCCGATGTTTATAGTTTCGGGATGATGCTGATGGAAATGGCCGGTAGAAGGAGGAATGTAAATGGAAATGCAGAGGATTCAAGTCAAATTTATTTTCCTTTGTGGGTTTATGATCAACTTGGCAAAGAAAAGGGGTTTGAAATGGTTGATGCCACAGAGGAGGAAAGAGAGACAACGAGGAAGATGATAATCATTGCTCTTTGGTGTATACAATTGAGCCCTAGTGACAGACCGTCGATGAGCCGAGTCCTTAATATGCTAGAAGGAGAGATTGATGAACTACAACTTCCCCCAAAACCACTTCTCTATCCAACAGAGATGCCAATTGATGATGGCGAGATCAAGAATGAACTAGAAACTTTCTCATCTTCTTCAAGTGTTCCAACTATTTCTAGTAGTTACCGGTATGAGCACAATAACAATTGTTTTGCATGATTTTTTTCCCTCTTGTAGAAATTGAATGCAAAATAATAGTACTATCCCGTATACATGATTTTAGTGGTACATCCTCTTGCTATCCATTGGTACCCACCTTTTCTAAATGTGCTTTTTTTTTTTTGCACGAGGTTTCCTTTATGAAATTTTGGGTCCTTTTGGGTCGCAGTGTCAATTCTTCCTCCATCGTCTTAAAAGCTCGCATTTAAAAGATTTGAGAACAATAATCTAGTCGTACCATCGCTCAGTGAAGAAGAACAGGACAAGCATATTTGCCGGAACACATGGCAAACATGTTTAATCTTTTGGTTTCCTTCTCGGGTAATTTCAATTTCAATGTATTTTAATTTACTTGCAAACTCTTCACCGTTTGCACTTCGATTCACCTGGAATTGCACTCAAATCCCCACTTCATGCACTCTCTGAGTGCGGTGTGAAACTGTGGAGCGATCTTGATTGCTCTCTGTCTTCTTAAATTCGAATGGCATAAATTGATTTATCTTCAAATGGTACTATCTTTACATGCTCGCGATCATTCATATGTAATATCCTAGTTTCGTGTGAGTTAAGCAAATTCCTCACAATACCATTTGCATTGAGCAACAAGTCTCTCTCCTATCTCCACCGATCCATTACAAGCTCTGTCCTTCCCACCAAAACCTATAGCTTACCCACTCGACAGCCGCCCGATCACCCACGTTTACGGCGGCCACCCTTTCCGAAGAAATCCCCAACCTGGACCACATGTCCCATATGAAGAAGAAGAGCAACTCCCTTCCTTAATCCAAACGTTTAAATTAATTGGGAGGTTGATCAAAATGGGCTTGTGACTTGCACGTGCCACAGAGGAAACACAGAGTAAGCCGCCTACTTTGCCAAAATGAGCGCAAATTGAGCATGTGATGTCACGCGGATCGGACTTTGCAGGGTCAGAAAGAAAACGGTCAACGAACTTTGGGTCAGACTGAGACGAAAAAATCAAAGTCTACTAAGTCGGCTGAGCAAATAAATAACAGGGAATTGACTGAGACCACCAGGAAATCATATAGGACAAGTTGGAATTAGCCCAAAATTAGTGATAATGACAGGGAACTGAATGGGGGAATATATGTTACTGTTAGTAATACCAACTATACTAAAACTAGTTTACAATATTAGTGTATTAAGTTACTAAAATGCTTATTGATAGAGAAAATTGATTAGCAAACACCAGGTTAGACAAGATTAATGTTGAATAGTTGAAACGTAATATCAATAACTGTTAAACACTGCAAATAAGTAGGGAGCATGATATCTAGAACAAATGGAAATACTTTGGAGGGAGACTAATTCTCGTGAATATGACGGGCTTGACCTTCATATCAGCTTGCCGGTTCACTTAATGCAAACACTTCATGCAAACGGTAATGACTTAAACTAAATTGTTACTTGAAACTCAATTGAACAAAGTTTATTATCATCAATGTTACTATGTGTTCTCGTTTTCGTCTTCACGATATGTCACTTATGATATATTGGCATTGAAATGAATTTCAACACAGATGTCTCTCTTACAAGGATTTTGATTCAATTTAGGGCACGGTAGTTCATTTTTACGATACTAAAGCTGATTTCTAGAGAAAATCAATTTGCCAAAAATGTCAAATTTAGAAACCGTAGGTAAGTTTCCTTCCTAATTGATGGGAATGCCATCCATAAAATAATCCACCGTGTTATGTTAGCTTCACTGCGTCAACACAAATCTCTGCATAATTTCCACTGATGGAACCTTTGGTTGGTCCATACAATTTACTTTGTGTTAATTGGTTGACTTGCACATTTTAATGACAGATGACCCCCAACTGATCTTCTCGATCGTCAGACCAAAGAACCTCCTCTGGAATGCTAAGCGTGTACGAGAGAAACAGCCAGTTTCTTATGATTTTCTACTCAACCTTGTTGGACCGGCAACTCCCCGAAGACCGCTGGCTAACGAGAGATCAAGATTTTATCTGAAAGCCTTAGAGCTGCTAACTCCCCATGTCAAAACCGTAGTTGCGAAAGAAAGAGCAACAAGAGACGAGTTACATAAGCAGAAACGCAGAAATGTTTCCATATATTTTGCTTCTTTGCTCTGTTTCATTCGGCCCCTCTTTGTCCATAAGCACAGATACCATATTTCCCGGTGAGTCTATCTCCGGAAACCAAACATTAATCTCTCAAGGAGGAACATTTGAGATGGGCTTCTTTTCACCAGGTAACACTGGTAACCACTATATTGGCATTTGGTACAAAGGGTTACCTCAGAAGACTCTGGTTTGGGTTGCGAATAGGAACTGCCCCGTGTCCGACCCATTCTCTTCGGAGTTGAAGCTCCTTCGGGACAGTAATTTAGTCATACTCACTTCATCCAAGCATCAAATCTGGTCGACCGGTTCGACATTGCTCATGCCTAATTTGACTTCAGGAGTGCTCCTTGACAATGGAAACTTCATTTTAAGGAAGACATCTGATGTGTCTATTGCTTGGCAGAGTTTCAATCATCCGACTGATACGTGGTTACCCGGTGCCAAGTTTGGATTCAATAACCTTACGTCGGAAAGGACAGTTTTGGTGGCATGGAGAGATTTAGATGATCCAGCTCCCGGGATATTCTCTGCATTCACGGGAGCAGAAGGAACAGCTCAGTTTTCGCTATATAACAGGTCGGAAACCTACTGGAATAGTGGCGACTGGACTGGCGATGAATCCAGGCATCAGCGCTCAGTAACACTGGAAAACGTGGTAAACTTCTCCTTCGTTTCAAATGAGAATGAGGCCTACTTCATATATTCTGCATTTGCTCCTTATAATCTTTCTAGGATTGTGCTCGAACCAACGGGGCTGTTCAAGCTATTAGTATGGGCAAAGCATATCCAGGAGTGGAAAGTGCTCTGGACACAGCCAACACAAACGTGTGAGATTTATCCCTTTTGTGGTGCTTCTTCTAACTGCAATCAGAGCGATGCACCGGTTTGTGATTGCGCTCTTGGACACTTAGATCATCTGAAGCTGGAAGATCATCTGGGCCGATGCAAGAGGAGATCTGCGTCGGAGTGTAGTGGTGACAGGAAAGATAATTTTTTCCTCATGCCTAATGCACGCTTCCCGAAAAATTCTGATTCGTTCATGGTTGAAAACATCGAAGCATGCAGGTTGTTGTGCTTAAGCAACTGTTCGTGCAGTGCATATGCTTACAGTGCAAACTGTTGGATATGGACGGATGACAAATTTACAGTTCAACTTTCGGCCAGTGATGCAGTTTTGAGAGGTTTCTATGTCCGGATTGCGGGGTCAGGCTTGAAGGAAGAAAGTAAGAAAAAGGGGAAACCCAGTTCGAATTTCATAATAGCAGTTGTAGTTGCGTCCGTAGCTTTTCTGTTGGTCCTCAGTGGGTTGCTGGTGACCATTAGGAGGAGACGGCCTGCTAGTGCAGCGGACGATCATTTGATGCATTTTGAATATCGAGTTCTGAAGAAGGCGACAAAAAAATTCTCCGAGAAAATTGGGGAAGGCGGGTTTAGTTCTGTCTTCAGGGGAGCACTGCCAGACTCAACTCCAATAGCAGTGAAGAAACTTGTGAACCAAAACCAAAGTAACAAACAGTTCCTTGCGGAAGTTAGAACTATCGGAACAATACAGCACGTCAATGTCCTTCGTCTGCGCGGTTTTTGTGCAGAAGAGACAAAGAGGTTCCTAGTATATGAGTACCTTGCAAATGGTTCGCTCGCAGCTCATTTGTTTCGGAAAGGTTCCAACACCCTCGATTGGAAAACCAGATACGGTATCGCCATTGGGATTGCTAAAGGATTGGAGTATCTCCATGAGAGGTGTCGAGATCGCATCATACACTGCGACATCAAGCCAGAGAATATACTGTTGGATTCAGAACTATCGCCACAAATTGCCGATTTCGGCCTCGCGAAGCTCCTGGGACGGGACGTCAGCTGCGTAATTACCACCATGAGGGGAACCAGAGGGTACCTCGCACCAGAATGGATTCTGGGAGGCGCCATCACATCCAAAGTCGATGTTTTCAGCTATGGAAAGCTCCTCTTTGAGATCATATCGGGAAAGAGAAACATTGAGGAGCTGAATAGTGATATGCGCGATTATCTCCCGCTTCAGGTAGCCAATTCAATAGCCAAAGGAGAAGAAGTCTTGCCACTCGCGGACCGCAGATTGAACGGACTCGTGGAGATGGAAGAATTATGCAGGGCATGCAAAGTGGCTTGCTGGTGCATTCAAGACAGCGAGCGAGATAGGCCAACTATGACTCAGGTAGTCCAGATTTTGGTGGGGGCTATGGCAGTAGAAAAGCCTCCGATCCCAAGAACTTTATTGCGACTTGTAGGAATCAATGAGAGTGAAGCATAAAAAAAAGCACTATGTACTCGAAGTATAAAGACAGAACAGTTAATGTCGCTGATGGACTAACTTTAAATTTTTCGAATTTGGTTGCAACCTTTGATTCTCCATTTGTCAACGGTTCTATTTTTCTGTTCTTTTGCTCTTCTGAAAAAAAGAAGAATAGAAATCAATTTGATAACGTCAATATATTTTGGCCGGGAAATAAATTTGAAATAGAAATAAAATGAAAAAAAAATCATTTTTTCTATTCTTGGGAACAAAAAGAGAAATAAGATAAACAGGAACAAAAAAATCTTCACCACCCACGCCACCTCCACCACCACCACCCACGCCTCCTCCGCCACCGCCACCGCCGCCGCCCGAGTCACCACCTCCTCCGACACCTCCACCACCCAAGCCTCCACCACCTCCAGGCTCACCTCAACTCCTCCTTCATCGCCACCTCCTCTAACACCACCACCACCACCGCTTGACTCACCTCCGACACCTGCACCCCCACCTCCAATGCCTCTTCTAACACCACCACCACCACCGCCTGACTCACCTCCGAGACCTCCACCACCTCCACCCCCACCTCCAACGCCTCTTCCACCCACGCCACCTCCACCAAGATCTCCTCCACTACCGTCCCCTCCACTGCCCCAGTCACCACCTCCTCCGACACCTCCACCACCAACGCCTCTATTGATATTTTTATAATTAATTTAAAAAAAATTGGGAATAGAAATTTTTAGAGTCATACCAAACGCATTTTTGTTCTTTTTCTATTCTAGGAATATAAATTTTGTGCGGTTACCAAACACGTTCTTTTGCTCAGAAACTCATCTAAGGAATAGAAATAGAAAAAATTATTTCTGAACAGAAATTGTTCTCGCGAACAGAATCGTTACCAAACGGATCTTAAATTGCTACTTTCCGATGGGCCAAATGTGGAATGTTTTGTCTAAATATAACCAGCATTTTCGTGGAAAATTTTTGGCACGACCTTTTCAAGCCCAAATCCTGGGCCCAACTGGTACGACCATTGTCAGAAACAAGGATTGACTCGTGGGACTGATCTAAGATCTAATCCCACACTTCCATTGAAAAAAAAAAAAAGGGGGAAAGAAAAGCAGTTCATTTTGGATTCTTGGCCTTTATCGAATTTTTCATTCATTGTAATTCTGATCAAATTAGGCCCGACCCGTTGAACAAAATGGAAAGGGCCTACACAGCCCCTTAACCGAGCCAACGGAGAAAATCTTTCGCATGACATTTCCATATTGTACGACAACAGGTTAACAGTGTTTGGATTGGCATTTTATCTACGTCTTAATTATTCTACATCTTGCTACCTGCCTTTTTGTTTTTTGGTTATTCAAATCGAAAGTATCTTAAACATCCACATCATAAAAATGCAAAAAAGTTACAAAAAAAATTATAAATCTATTGTACAGATGTCAATTCAATCATAAACCTTTCAATTTAGTCAATTTAGTCCTAAACATTTTGACAATTTGTCAATTAAGTCGTTCCGGCCCAATTTTGGCCGGAAATCGCTGACGTGGACGTCGTTTGTTCTACGCGGCACAGCTAGTGCTGATGTGAACAATTTTTACAATTTTTATTTTTTATTAGCTATTTATTTAATTTTTTTCCAATTGTGGCCAACAAGGGTCGCAGCCTTTGCCCCGATTTGGTGAGAGCCTTCGCGTCCTCGCTTGCAACTGGCAAGGCCATGATGGCCTTGCCGTCGCCCATACTAAGCAAGGCCTTCGCGGCCTGAAGAGAGCCACAACTCTTGCCTAGGGACACAATGCAAAAAAATAAAAAAAATAAAAAAAACTATACAAATAATAAAAAATTATAAAAATTGTCTACGTCAGCACCGGCTGTGCCATATAGGATGGCCGGTGTCCACGTCAGCGATTTCTAGCCAAAATATGCCGAAATGACTCAATTAGCAAATTGTCAAAAGGTTTAGGACTTAATTGGCCAAATTGAAATGTTTATACTCAAATTGGCATCCACACAATATGTTTATGAGTTTTTTGGTATCTTTCCCTAAAAATGCTGATTTGTAGATTCACATACAATTTTTTCCATAAATTTTTAAAGTTCGAATAATATTTTAGTTTGTGATAGTAGTAAATAATACCATAAACTAAATAAATGCACAACCATTCGGGGGTATCTAAGTATCAATCATAAATGTTGTTTACATAAATTGAGCAAACCAATAGTCAGATACAATAAATTAAGCAAAACCGGAAAGAAATCGGGACTCATACAGGTTTATTCATGCACAAAATGGACGGATGTCCATGCATGCTCTTGATTGGGAGACAACTAGTTGGCCATGCAAGATGTGATCATCCATGCATCTATATTTCCTCATGGCCAAAGAGAGGACTTCTGTTACCGAGAGAAAACAGGAAAAAAGAGAGATGAAGAAGAGAGATTGATCCTGAAGGGGAAACCATGAATGAATGACAAGATAAAGTTAAATCCCGATGGTTCATGTTGTAAGTCGTTCACACCTTCTCTAGTGCTTTAGGATATCATATCTTATATTCCATATGTGAACAGGATCATATACGTTAATGTGCACTTATCGCGTTTGCCACATTACATGAGTAAGGTAATTAAACGGCATCGTATGTATGGTAATGATATATTTACACAGTAAGAACTAAGTACCACATGTATTTCAGTTTTACGCCGTCAATGCCACCTTTTGAACTTTGTTGGGACAAAGTGCTGAATGGTGAGAGCCACCTGTTGAACATGTATGGGCCAACTCTTGAATCCTACTTGTGCGCCCATCTGTACATATCGGTAGGATTAGTTACATGATATGCATCATCTAATAGCATCTGCGTGATTTTCTTTTATTAGTATGGTAAATTACTTGCTCAGTAGGTGATGTGTTTACTCATTATTAAGGCAAACTCACCAACAATGTGTGTAGGGTTGCTTAGTGAGATTGAGATCCTTAAATAGGAGTGTGCAGCGAAAGCTGATTGGGTTTTGAAGCGATACAGTAAGTGATAAATACGGCGAAAACTAAAATTGATGAATGATATTTTATGAATATTTATTAGGTCGAGCCTCGCTCACTTGAGGTTATGAATAGGTAAGCCATAAGCAGTACTTTTTACTTTTTTTTTCTTGGATAAATGCACTTAAAGTCTTAAAACACATCACGAAAGGGTATTAAGTAGTAAAACTTTAAAAAAGTGTAATCAAATGTTCAAATTTGTCCAATTAATAAAGTTGAGTTCTCCTGAGTTTTGTTCATTTTCAGTGACGGAAAATACTAACAGAATTATTTTTATTTATCTCTAGTATATGTTATGCCTCCTTTTGCAATAGTGAAGATCCCAATCTATGGGTAAAGAGGGTGGCGCCAGGGATGAGAAAGGGGGCAGTACCAGCCCCCAACTTTGCCTGCAACCCTCGTCAGGGAACGGGCGAGGGCCAGTGGCCGTCACTGCGAGCAAGTGATAGGTTTCTTAGTACTGGTTCCTTCAGCAGCGTTCCCGCAGAAACTCTTTCTCCCCGAACACTCAACAAGATCCATAATACAGTCAATCCCTGACATACATCTCATTGCCATTTCCAGCAAGTAGATGTACGCCAGAGAAAATGCGTGAATCGCAATGAAAGGAACCATCTCTTCACAGACGCCACTAACTGGTCTTCGAAAGGTCTTCAATTCCATAAGCGAGTGGCATTCTCATGATACGTGGAGCTTGGTTGGGGGAAGGGGAAATGTATCTTGCTTTGCTTGGATTGCATCAGAGGGGAGTCCATGGATTTGGAACGCGATCCTGTGACCACCGCTAATGAGACCCAAACCCAATCAGCTTAACCTGCCGATCGCATAAAACGAATTGGACAGACTAGAAAATTGTTCGGTGAATTGGAGAAGCAGTATGGCCAACCTAAACACGAACCGTGAAGGGAAACTGATCTACAGGTGGTCTTGAGTTCCGATAGCTTATCACTTGTGAATATCGTCCGGGGCCAGCCCCAGGCCCATGGGAATTGTAGGCTATCTTGGAGGAGTGCAAAGAAATGCTAGCTCCGTTCAATCCTGTTCAGCTAGTCTATAGCCCAAGCGAATCAAACCAAGTGGCAGACTGGATAGCTAAGTCTCATCGCAAGAAAGTCCTACCCCATGACTGGCTCGTAGAACCACTTTTACCTTTATGGGATCTTTTATGTTCAGAAATTCATAAGTTATGTTATCCTTTGTTGGTTAATGAATGAAACGTCTAGCTTTTCGACCAAATAAAAGAAACATGGCCAAACTAAGAGAACATAAGGCCTCACCAGTCGTTGCCATCAAGCGAGGGTTGATTGGCCCTCGCGACCACCCTACTAGGGTCGGCCAACCCTCGCCCTGATCTGGCCAAAGGCTTGTAGGCCCTAGCCTACTCGCGGTGATGACAAGCAGCCTTGGCCTGTGGTTGAGTGAGAGTCTTCATCAAGGCTCCCAACCATCTCTCTCTCAGGTTCTCTTTTCCTTATTTGCCTTCATTTTTGGCCTTTTTCTTTTCCTTTTCCTAGATATTCTTTTTCCTTTTTAAATTTTGGTTTTTTTTATGATGTGGCACCCATGTCTCCTTAATGCATAAAAAATATGTAATGTCATCATTTTTCATCACCGAAATTTGATGCAACTTTCGGAAGTTGCCAATCACACAAATTTGATAATTTTTAGACCTTTTATACTTTTAAAAGTTTTAGAATTTGATTGCACTTATAAGCAAATAGAAAAAGCCTGATAATCATTCTTTTGATCGAAACAAAGCCATTCCTCTTGTGTATTAGTAAATTAAATTTGTACGATTAACAAAACAAAAGATTAACGAAATCTCCCCATCACGCAGCACCAGTGAGACTTTTCTCGGTATACAATGTTGATTGCTTTTTTGTTTTTTGGTCGAAGATGTTGACCGCATGTTACCTAGGGGAAAAATAGGAGAGAGTCACAGTGAAAAGTGGGCCTCACCATGGACACGTGGCGATGAATGAATGGGCTGCCGGGTGGCCGACATGAAGAGACAGGTCTATGCAATATTTTATCGATTTCTAATGAGAATTTCCTTCAAACGGGAAATGCATGTGTCAAACGTCAATAAATATCTCCCTTAGTAAGTCGCGAAGTTGCTGAGGCTTTTCAAAAAAAAAAAAAAACCTGCTTTGAAAATAAACATTTGTAAATCAAATTTTCTATACACATAATTTCAGTCATATATTTAAATTTTTATGTGTATTTCAATACTTGACACATATATTTTACAAAGTATTATTGTAATAGGCTATAACATTCCTTCAACCCCAATTGAAGAAAACTTCCTCCAATCATGCTTCAGTAGGGTGATTATAATTGTAGACATCATCCACTTTCAATTTAAATTGAGGTTATGACCATGTCTGTGTTAGAATATTTGAATAGTAAATCATGCTTTCACCTATCAGTTTAAGTTTTTGAATTGGACTTTCTAACATAAATAGAAGTAGAAAATCCTAAGTTCAAATCTTTTCAGCCCATAATTTATTTTTTTATTCCACTATATCTTTCCATGTTTAAGGCTTAGGCCAAAGTCTAGCCTACACGTGAAAGAAAGTGTTATAATATTTAAATATAATATCACGCCTTAATTTATTAGTTTAAGCTTTTGGATTAGACTTTTTGACCGGCTAAAACTCGCCAATTAGAAGGGTGGTGAGAGGAAAATATTGCCCTTGTAATTGCTCTTGAAATACGAAATCTTACTTGACACTCGCAGGGACTTTTATTGTATAATCGACCAATAGCAATTTGTATATGATATTGATGAATGTAATCTATAGTCCTTTCATCTGAAAAACATATTTCAGATGTCTGGTGCTTTAGGATGCGAATGGTAACCATTCTGCTCAAGAATTTGATTTCTGAAGGAGAAATCTGTTTGGTAAAACATGACTAATTCTGCTCCAGAAATTGATTTCTGGAACAGAAATCTGTTTTGATTTGTTGATTTTTTTTGCACCTAAAAAAATTTAAATTTTACTCAAAGTGGGTGGCCACATGTATTATAAGCCATTCTGTAAAGTTTTGAAATTTTTGATTTTTTTTAATTTTTTTTTGGCACCTAAAAATATTTAAATTTCACTCAAAGTGGATGGCCACAGGTATTCTGAGCCATTTTGTGAAGTTTTGAATTTTTTTATTTTTTTATTTTTTTGGGCACCTCAAAAAATTTAAATTTTACTCAAAGTGGGTGGCTACAGATATTCTAAGCCATTCTGTGAAGTTTTGAAATTTTTTATTTATTTTTTAATTTTTTGGGCACCTCAAAAAAATTAAATTTCACTCAAAGTGGGTGGCCACAGGTATTTTAAGCCATTTTGTGAAGTTTTGAAATTTTTTATTTTTTTATTATTTTTCTTTTTTTGGGCACCTAAAAAAATTAAAATTTCACTCAAAGTAGGTGGCCACAGGTATTTTAAGCCATTTTGTGAAGTTTTGAAATTTTTGATTTTTTTTGGGCACCTCAAAAAATTTAAATTTCACTCAAAGTGGGTGGCCACATGTGTTTTAAGCTATTCTGTGAAGTTTTGAAATTTTTGATTTTTGATTTTATTTTTAAAAAAAAAATTCACCAAATTTCATATTTTCCCGAAATCTGACTTTTTTTTATTTTCTGGAAATTTTTATGAATTTTTCTAGAATTTTTCAATTTTTATGCATTTTCTGAAAAAAAAATTTGTGAGAAAATAGAGACAATGCATTCCGGAATCAAGAAGCTACAAAAACTAGCTTCTTTTTTTTGGCCCAAAACACATTCTGGAAGCAAAAACTCATTCTGAAACCAAAAAAAGAATGTATTTTTACCAAACGCGTTTTTGCTCCAGAATGCAAAAATTCCTCCGGAATGCATTCCGGAAATTTTTTAACAAACGCATTTCTGTTCCGGAATGCATTCCGGAGCAGAAATTTTGCTCCAGAATGGATTCCATTCGCGCCCTTAGCTAGCCACTGTCTGTCCACTGTGTTGGAATGTGCTGGGAAGCTCCACTTTCTGGACTTTGGACGGCTTTGGGTCATTGCTTGACTTGGGCTTTTCCAAAGACGACTCCAACTCTCCAACTTTCATCAGGATACGTCTCTCTAAATGCATCCCTTTTTCTATGGAGCCTCTCCACCCAATAACCAAAGCCAAACAAAAATCTCTCCGTTGCACAAATTGTCTCAACGTCAGGTACCAAATGGAGCCTTTCCTATTGCTCGTTCTTCTCGTAATACAAGCTGGGATTAGTTGCCATGCCCACAACAATCACCTGTGTGCCCCTTCGGCATGCGGCAAGGTCCGTAACTTAAGCTATCCCTTTCGATTGAAGGGCCAGTCGAAAGGTTGCGGTGACTTGAGGTTCGAGCTAGCATATGAAGATAACCGCACGTTACTATCTTTGTGCGATGGCCGATATCGTGTGCAAAGGATAAACCCCCCCAGCAATTATGGGGGTTTAATTACTGGTTATATGGAAGTGGTCGATGTCGGGCTGCAAAAGAGCAACTGTTCCTCCCTTCCTCTCCACCAGTTAATGCCCTCTAATTTCAGTGTTGAAGAAGATGAACGGTATTCCATACGCGATGGAACCAGGGTGACCTTTGTGTCTTGCTCAAAGCAAGTGAGATCTCCTTTGTATATCGACACCCAACCATGTATAACTGTAAACGGTTCATACGCTGTCATCAATGCGATGGCATCGGATATTGAGGAGTTTTGCACCATAACCATGTCGATACTTGCAGCAGAATATTTACAGGAGAAAAGAGCAGCATTGTCCAGGCAGAATCGTACGATCTCCTACAACTACATACACAATGCGATGGCCGACGGGTTTAATCTCTCCTACTGGGTGTGGCCGCAGAGCAAAACATTTCACTTTTGCTTCTTAGCCTTTCAATGCCGAGGGCAAAACCGCAAATCAGTCTACTACTGTAAGTATGCCTTTCCATCAAAGTACTTTAGCCGATTAATATGCTAATATTTGGCTCTCGCTATAGCTCTTGTGCATCAATCGATGGACTGTGATTGACTACTACGAAAATCAAAGTAACAGCTGCAAGTGAAGTTTGTAAAACTCCTGACCATCTTGATTGTGTTAGCAAAACCCAATGAAACGAATTAGCCCTCGAGGGGATAAAGATGACGCGCAAACAACTGGTTCACTATGAAATACAATCGTCGTTCTCCGAGGGAATTTGATGATAGCAATCATGTCGGGTAAATTTTTATCCCTGTTCACAAAATGATGGATGAAATTTGAAATATAGCAAGCACTAAAATGAAGTTTGTGCTAAGTTCACATTGGACATCTCAAAATTATATAAAACATAAAAAAAATTTGTCTGCAGTTCCTTCTAAGAGTTTTTATATTAGCTCAAAGCACCTCATCTTTTCAACTGCTAACTTTTCTTCTATATCAAGAGTTTCACAAATTGGGGAATGAAAAGTGAGTGGTGTCCTTCCTTTCAGAGGCCAGGCTATGTTAATCCTACCTTAGAAGTTAATCATATATAGGCACAACATATACGTAGTTTTTCACATTGAGACAGGAGATTTGTTGAATATATACAACTGTTAATTGTAGTAAATGTAAAATTAGTTACTTATCACTTATTACCCTTAATAAATCTTTGCTTCGAATATTCTTAATTTGTACCTAATTTTTTAGTTGATTAGAATGCTAATACTGATTATATGTCTTCATTAATATCTTTCTTTTTGTAGACAATTCTTCTTGGGGTAGGGCGCTAAAGGATGCAATGAATATAGTTCATATTGCCGGCTTTGTCCTCGGTATGCATGATTCTTTTTTACTCTCATCTACCAAACACTCGCGCATTATATGTGAAGAAAACACTCTTTATAACAAATAAAATAGGATATGCTTTACCCTGAACTTAAGGCAATTTTCTACACAGCTCACTTCCTAGCAGCAAAATTCATATTCGGAGGTCCATGTGTGTTGATACTTTTAATCAATAAGTGGATGAAAAGGCACCAAGCAATGGATGCAAACATTGAAGAATTTCTACGAGCCCACAACAACTTTTTGCCCATCAAGTACTCTTACTCAGATATCAAAAAGATCACAAAAAATTTCAAGCACAAGTTAGGTGAAGGGGGATATGGTTCTGTGTACAAAGGAATGCTTAGAAGTGGCAATGAAGTTGCGGTTAAGATTTTGAACAAACCAAAGTCTAACGGCCAAGATTTTATCAACGAAGTGGCCACAATTGGAAGGATCCACCACGTTAATGTGGTGCAACTAGTTGGTTTTTGCTTTGATTACTCCAAACAAGCTCTTGTCTATGATTTCATGCCGAATGGATCTCTGGATAAGCACATTTTCTTTAAGGCTGGTGATAATTCTCTTGATTATAAGAAAATGTATGAGATCTCTCTTGGCATAGCTTGGGGGATAGAGTATCTACATCGGGGATGTGATATGCAAATTCTACATTTTGACATCAAGCCTCACAATATTCTCCTAGACCTGAGTTTCACTCCAAAAATTTCTGACTTTGGACTTGCAAGACTTTATCCCGCTGATCATAGCGTAGTATCCTTAACTGCAGCAAGAGGAACATTAGGATATATGGCGCCTGAGCTATTCTATAAGGACATTGGTGGTGTTTCTCATAAAGCTGATGTTTATAGTTTTGGGATGATGTTGATGGAAATGGCCGGTAGAAGGAGAAATGTAAATACAAATGCAGAGGATTCCAGTCAAATTTATTTTCCTTTGTGGGTTTATGATCAACTCGGCAAAGAAAAGGAGGTTGAAATCATAGATGAGATAGAAGAGGAAAGAGAGACAACAAGGAAGATGATAATTGTTGCTCTTTGGTGTATACAATTGAGCCCTAATGATCGACCGTCAATGAGCCGGGTCCTTAATATGCTAGAAGGAGAGATCGAAAACCTACAACTTCCCCCGAAGCCACTTTTGTATCCGATTGAGATGCCGATTGCTGATGTGGAGACTGGGATTGAACCTGAATCTTCTCCAAGTGTTCCAACAATTTCTAGTAGTTACCGGTATGAGCACAATAACAAGAGTGCGGAATCTTGTTTTGTGTGATGTTTTCCATATTGTAGAAATTGAAATCAAAATAAAAGTAGTACTATACTTGTACTTGATTTTAGTGATATAATCCTTGTGGCTATTTATTGGTACCCACTTTTTCCAAATGTGTTTATCTATTTATTTAAGTTTTTGGATGAGGTTTTCTTTATGAAAATTTTTGTCCTTTTGAGTCTATGTGTCGATCCCACCAGCGATTCTAAAAGCTCGCACGTTAAATAATTGAGAATACATGGCAAACATGTTTCAAAATAGAGTTACAAGTGCTCAAGATGAAGGAATGCGCGTGGAGAGAAATCAACTTGAGCATGGAAGTGAAGACAACCATGGAATTATAGAGGGCAAGTTGGACTTAGCCCAAAACTAGAGATCGTGATAGTGGATTTGAATGGGAAAAATATATTAACTATTAGTTATACTATTTATACTTAAACTAGTTTACAATATTAGTGTTTAAGTTATTAAGATGCTTATTGATAGAGAAAAATGATGAGTAAAACACGAGGCCATACAAGATTAAAACCGAATATTTGACACATGAGATAAATTAGACTCCGAAAATAAATAGGGAGAGTGATATCAAGAACAAATAGAAATGTTTAGGGTGGAAACTAGTTCTAGTGAAGATGATGGTTTTGACTTTCAATATCAGATGGTCACTTCACTTGATGCAAAGAAATAATGACACAAAATTGTTTCTTGAGTCTCGGGTGAACAAAGTTTATTATCATCAATATTAGTATTTTGATCCAATTTAGGGCACGGTAGTTCATTTTTACGGTATCAAAGCTGATTCCTAAATATAATTAATTTGCCAAAAAAGTCAAAGAAATCCCAGACAAGTTTCGTTCCTAATTAGTTTGAAAGCTATCCATGAAGAAATCCACCACTTGTTATGTTAGCTTCAATGCGTGTACTACAATCTCTGCATAATTTCTACTGATGGATACTTTGGTGGGTCTACACAATTTATTTTTCTTGACCTGACTTTGTGTTTATTGGTTGAGTTGGTCATTTCAATGACAGATGACCCAACTGATGTTTTCGATCATCATCAGACCAAACAATCTCCTTTGAAATGCCAAGTGTTTACTAGCCATCTAGTGGACAGATTCGGAAGCAACTGCAAGAATTCTAGTCACCCACAAGAATAACAGCTAGTGTCTAATGACTTTCGACTCCGCCTTGTTGGACCAGCAATTCCCCGAAGACCGCTGGCTAATGAGAAGTCGAGTTTCCATCAGTTCACAGAAACACTTCTGCAATAATTCCAGGACGTAATCCAACGAAAGTCTCGGCCACTTGAAGAAATCGCCACACACTAACTCATCAACTACGGCACTCAATTCAGAGGCTGAACTTCCCCTAAAACTAATTCTATATTCGATAGATAGAGATGTCAGTTGATGATGTTGAGACTAAGATAGAATTCCAAACATTTTCATTCTTTTCAACTGTTCCAACAACTTTTAGTAATTACCGGTATGAGCACGATAACAAAATTGCGGGATCTTGTTCAGTGTGATTTTTTTCCCTCTTGTAGAAATTAATGCAAAATAGAAGTAGTAAAATCACTTGTACTTGATTTGATTTGAGTGGTATAACCCTGCTGGCTATCCATTGGCACCCCCTTTCATCCAATATGTGTGTTTTCGATGAGATTTTCTTTAAGAAAGTTTTGGTACTTCTAATATCAATTATTAGGGCGTGATTCATACTTTCCATCGATAGAAAGGTATGGGGTTTCCGCTCACCAATAAACAAGCGGGATCCGGGGACTGCCCCAGCAGGGGTCGCAAAGGGCAATGCCCTTGAACCACCAAAAGACTTTTATAGTTTAAACCCGTATTTTATTAGTAGTTTGAGCTTCGACCTATAAATAGCTACTGAGTGGCCTAGGGCTTTCTCGACCCCTAAGGTCTGTATATAGTATCTTTCTCTTATAATTGAGAGTTGTAACAGAGAAGTAAGAGGTGCTAATTTTAGTGAAATCCATGTAGCCATAGTTTAAGGATGAACCAAGATAAAACATTGTGTCTCGATTTTTCTTTCTTTCATTTAATCTCTATTTTGTTGTGTTTATGCGCCTAATCCTAATATCAATGTCAATTTTCATCCTCCACCGTCCTAAAAGCTCGCAGTTCAAAGAATTGAGAATACTTGGCGGACATGTTTCCAAATAGAGTTACAAATGCTCCAGATGGGGGAATGTGCCTGCAGAAAAACTTAAGCATGGAAGTGAAGACTACTGACCACCGGCTAAAGGTCAAACGATGTGCATATTGATATAGTGGGAAGAAGAACTTGACGAAGGCACGACCCCATTCAACTCGTCTCGAGTTTAATCTTTTTATTTCCTTCACATTTCTCTTCCATTCAACTCATGTATCTCGTGTGATTCCAATTTCAATGTACTTGAATTTTCCTCGCAATATTTTTACTTTTTGGATTTTACGTGGATATCCACTCCATCAAATCCCCACTTCATGCATTGTGCGGGCAAGGTGTGAACCGCGGATCGCTCTCTTTCATATGAAGTTTGGATTGTCTCGACAAATATATAGATTTTTCGTCAAATGGTACTATTATTGTAAGATCTCCATCATTCATATGTACAATTCTTGGTTAAGGCAAGTTCTTCGCCATAATGTTTGCATTGAGCAATGAGTCTATCTCCTCTCTCATAAATTAGTTTAACCACCACGACAACCGACATAGACAAACTCAAATTCACACAGATTTTAAGAACAAGATAGAAGGTGATCGTCTTCAATAATTCAATGATCCTCTCCACTCAACAGATCCCAAATTTGCACATCATATCAAAGCATAAAATATGATTTACAATTGCAAAAGCTCAGTCCTCACTATTGTCCCCTCCGCATGAGCTTCCCTACTAAGCAAACATTCCACCAAACAATGTTGATAAGGCACGCGCTGTCCACTTCACTCAGAGATCCGCAGACGGAGAAGTCGTTCATCGAGGCCAAGAGGATTTAATTTTTGCATGACGGCACTCCTTCGTGAGAAAGTCTAGCTCGCCGAAATTTAGTTAGCCTGGTCCAGGCATATGTAAACTTTTTGCTATGGGTGGGCTCGGGCAACGCCGGCCCGGCCGGCTTGGCCCATCCAAGATTCATTTTTACCCACTCGAAAATGTTGAGTTTAAGGTAGGGGTGTGTAAAACGGATCGCCCAAATCGGAAACCGCCCGGACCGGACCGGATCGGCTAGTTTGGTCCGATTCACGGAAGTGTCGGTCCGGTTCCCGGTTCATAAAAGTGGAACCGGTGTCCAGGCGGTCCAGTTCCCGGTTCCAAAGGGCACCGGACCAAACCAGACTGACCGAACTGGACCGACTACATATATTTTATTCTTTTTTATTTCTTCAAAAAATTAGTAAAATGTGAATTAAACCCTAAGTGAAGTACGCTTTTTGGTTCGTCTTTTCAATTTGAGGATTATTACTAATATTTGATCATTCATGGTTCCAAAATAATCATTATAACTCGATGATTGGCGCATTTATTTTATTGTTTTTGATCCGCAATTTATAAATCTGCCTTTTAATTTTTGTTTATCATAGAAGATATATGAGCACATAGTTAGGATTCTTTTACTAAGATCTTTTTCAAAAAAAAGTAATGGGGAACATGAAGAGATGGCATTAAGTAGTGGGAAAAAAAAGTGACCTATTCCATAGGACCGGACCGGTGGTGCAGTCCGGTCCCCGATTCTAGGACAACCAGTTCGGTCATTGGGAACCAGGAACTGGAATCGATTACCCATAGTTTAAGGTCATAGAATGAATAGTCTATCCCTATCTTGTTATTGTAAGAGGATTTGATTTGTTTTCCCCTTCTTCTGACATTAAGACAGCAAAGGCCGAAACAACACTTCTGCACGAGAAAGACGGAGCCCAAGTTTCTGGTCAGGCTAGCTATTTTGTTCCCTAGGAATAACTATTTCATTCTTGATCTATTCTTGATGAAACGGTCATTCCTTTTGTTTCGTTGAAAGATTGATGAAAATAGCTAGTCCTCGAGGAAGTTCAAGAACTAGGCATTTTATGCAACTAATGAAATTCCTGGGGAGTCATGCATTTGTATATTGACAAAACCATTCACTATTTTTCGAAGATCGATCTGTCCCTTGGATGAATATAGCCAAGAGAAACCGTGAATCAAAATAGAAGAGCTTACCCTGCTCATAAGTAAGTATTTCATATCAAACATCTTTCTTCGTATTACCCAGATAATATGTAGGAGCATAAATTGAACTATTCTAGAGTTACAAAGATAGTTGTTAGGTCATTGGCAACACTACGTAATATTCCTCCTAAAGCAGCTGACGAAGCTTCATTCCTCAGCCAGACAATTTCATCAAATTAGGGCCTGAGCCGGTGAACAAAGGCACGAATCATAATCATTATATTTCTCTATCTTTCTATTTTTCTATTCCCGAGAACAAATTTTGAAACAAAAATCCATTTGGCAATACAATCTTATTTTTTTACTTTCGGGATAAATTTTTAGCCCATAAATAGGTTTGGAACAGATTGAGAAGTGGTTTTTTTTTTACTTTTCTCTTTCTTGAATAGAAACAGAAATAACAACTCTTTTTTATTGCTTGCCCTCGCTACCTGCCGCCCCCCCCACCGCCGCCCTCTCTCCAACTGTTTGCGGCCATTCGCCCGCCACCGCCCACCAGCTGCCCACCGCCTGCCCGCCCGCCCGCCCGTCACTTCTTAGGGCCGGGAAAGAGAATAATTATTATTCGCGCCTCAAGTGGAAGGCCCTTTAACTGAGCCAACGGAGGAAATCTTTCACGTGACCATTATGTTATATGATATCATGTCAACCTTCTTCGAATTGACTTTCACGTTTTATTTTTTAAATAATCTAAATCTCGTTACAAGCACGCTTTTTTTTTTAAATCCAAAATACCTCAAACATCCACAACCTATAAAAGTTGGTTTGTAGATTGGCGTACAATTTCATCCATAATTTTTTAAAGTTCCAATAATATATTAAGGACTAATACCACAAAATATCACAAACTGGTATACATGTGCCATATTTACCCAAAACTAATTTTTGTGTCACAAAAAATTCCAAATTGGTAAACCGGTACCACATTTACCCAAAACTAATTTTTGTGTGATAGAAAATCTCAAATTATATATTGCTCCAATGTCACATTTATCCCAAACTAATTTTTACGTCACAAAAATTAGATATTTAGTAGATTTCGAAAATTGAGGGAGCTCTTAGGGAAAAATTAGCTGATTTTAGCATATTGTCCAATCTAAGGCAAAATTATCCGATTTTAGCATATTTCCAGAGATTTTGGTTACTTGGAATTTTTTGCTACAAAAAAATTAGTTTTGAGTAAATGTGACACTGCAGTAACAGTTTGGGATTTTCTGTGATACAAAAATTAGTTTTAGGTAAACGTAGCAGGAATGTATCAATTTGAGTTTTTTGTTACACGAAAATTAAGTTGGGATAGATGTGGTTCGGGTATATCAGTTTGGTTCATCATCTTCCCAGAGCATTTACGACAAGGAAACCGAACACATCTGGCGAACTAAGATGCTACAGCCAAAGCACATAGTCCAATATATCAGTCCAATGAAACAGGAACAAAGGAACTTCAATGAATCTCGTGAACCAGTCCATCTCAGAACACTCCCCCCGGCACGTAGATGATTACTGCTTCTCTTAATCTGGAAAGGAAATTTTTTTAAAAATTTGATGTACCTATCAGCATAGATGATCCGGCAAGTCGATAAATCCACAACCAAATTCGTCGCCACTCCGAAACTTCAGGACTATAAATTCCAGGGCTAATTTTAGGAGAGTGTGTGTCATCCATTGATCACTTTAACCCTTCATTGTTCTTTAAACATTTGCATCTGCTAGTGAAGTCATGGGATCCTTCAGAAACCAACATTGCATCCTGGTGACATTGATCTTCCTTTTGGGAGCCTGGGCTCATCAAGCTGCGGGTCGCACCCTCCAGCAAGAAGATCCCATGTACGAGATGCACGAGCAGTGGATGGCCCGTTACGGGCGTGAGTATAAGAACATGGGGGAGAGGCAAAGCCGTTTCGAGATATTCAAGGTGAACGTGCGACGGATTGAGTCGTTCAATCAGGCAGGTGACAAGTCTTACCAGCTTGGCATCAATCAGTTTGCGGACCTCACGAACGAAGAATTCAAGGCGAGGAACCGATTCAAGTCTCACATGTGCTCCACCGAGGCCGCTTCTTTCAAGTACGAAAACGTCACCGCGGTGCCTTCCAGCATGGATTGGAGAAAGAAAGGAGCCGTGACACCGGTTAAGAACCAAGGCCAATGTGGTAAGTTGATGAAATTTAGTTCATGAATGAGCATTATTTGCCTTCACTAATCTATTCGACATTCTTTGACCCAATATGTTGTTAAAACCCCTAATCTTCTTATAGTTTCTTCTCCAAGAATGTTGTTGTTCTGATTTGATTGTCCTGTTCCATTGCAAAATTGTAGGATGCTGTTGGGCTTTCTCAGCCGTCGCGGCTGTGGAAGGAATCAATGAAATAACCTCGGGTAAGTTGATCTCTCTTTCCGAGCAAGAGTTGGTCGACTGCGACGTCGGTGGCCAGGACCAAGGATGCGAAGGCGGCTGGATGGATAGCGCGTTCCAGTTCGTCGAGAAGCACGGCCTCACGACCGAGACGAACTATCCCTACGTGGGCGCGGATGGCAAATGCAATGTCAAATCTGAATCGAACCGCGCCGTGACCATAAAGGGCTATCAAGACGTTCCCGCCAACAGCGAGGAGGCATTGCTAAAGGCAGTTGCCATGCAGCCGGTTTCCGTGGCCATCGACGCCGGAGGATTCGAGTTCCAGTTCTACTCTGGCGGCGTGTTCACCGGAGATTGCGGGACCGATTTGGACCACGGAGTTACCGCCGTCGGATACGGGGCAAGCGACGATGGCACCAAATTTTGGCTGGTGAAGAACTCGTGGGGAGAGGAATGGGGAGAGGAAGGATACATAATGATGCAGAGAGATGTCAGCGCTAAGGAAGGCCTCTGCGGCATAGCCATGAAGGCCTCTTATCCTACTGCATAACTATGGATGAAGTCCCTATATGATGTGAATAATTTTCTACTCTGTGTTTACCGCATACTGTCATCGTGTGATGTAAATTAAGTTATATCTAAACGTTGAGTGATTGGAATGTAATATTGGAATTTCCTATTTGAAAATATATACTTGGTACAAGAAGTATGGAACCAAATCAAATATGACGCTGTGCTCAACGTCTTTTTCTTTTTAATAACACGATGTATCTTAACCTTTTCGCCCGTTAATGTTTTGTTTCGGTTGCTCTTTCTTGTGAAGTCTTGCACTTTTCTTGAGTTCAAATAAATTATAGGTTGATAATCTGTCTACAGGACCCGTTGTCCCTACTAGTGTCGGACTATTAAATCTGCAAACCAAGGTTGCTCACTTAGCTCTCCTATACACACACACACATATATTTATATGGTTCCAACTTGTACTTCTGCTTATCAATTTCATGATATACCATTTATACAATTTCCAACACATAACCTTAAATTGGGGTTAATTCCAAAAAAAAGTACTAACTTTAGGTCGATGGACAATTCTGATCCGAACTTTTTTTTGTCCCGTAAAAAAGCACCAACTTTAAGTCGAAGGACAATTCTGGCCCGAACTTTTTTTTGTCCCGTAAAAAAGCACAAACTTTAAGTCGAGTGACAATTCTTGCCCCAACTTTTTTTTGTCTCGTAAAAAAGCACCAATTTTCACTTAAATCTCAAATCTGGCTCCCATTGTCTTAGAACCATTGATTATTTAACTTGACTATTCCACCTTAGCAATAAATCCACGTGGCTTGCTGACTGGATTTAAAGCAATATTTATTGTCTTATTCTCTAAGCCACAGCTTGAAGAATAACGGTAAAACTATTCGTTTCCTTCACTTCACTGGTAAATAAAAAATATCTCCAGATTGAATCTCTCTGGCCAGATGTAATCTGAAGCTGACCACTGCCTGTCAACAGACGACATGGATGAGATTCGCCAAGCTCACCATCATAACCTTTTTTTCTCAAACAAGGGTAACTTCAGACAGAAAGTCAATGGGAGGTCAGATTTGGGATCAGGGTAAAAGTTGGTGATCTTTTATGAGATAAAAAAAATTTGGGGCTAGAATTGTCACTCGACCTAAAGTTGGTGTTTTTTTACGAGACAAAAAAAAGTTCAGGCCAGAATTGCCCCTCGACCTAAAATTTGTGCTTTTTTATGGGACAAAAAAAATTTGTGCCAGAATTATCCCTTGACCTAAAGTTTGTGCTTTTTTTTGGAATTAGGCCCCTTAAATTGTGATAACATCCTAGATCTTCCCGAAGCATGATCTCTCTCTATTAAGGCTCCATTTATTTTGCGAAAAATGAATGATTGGGAAAATATATATATTTTTAAATGATCATTTGTATCGCTTGAAATAATTAGTCAATGGAAAAAAATTTAATTATCGACAATAATTTACGTCTAAATATTTTCGTGAACGATCAAAATATTTTAATTTCGTTAATTTTTACGAGTGACGCAAGCGATTCAGAAAAAAAAATGTTTCATAAATTTCATTTTTCTCGAAATAAGCGCACCCTAAATTCAGTTCTTCACTCGATCGCGATCAAGGTTTTCTTTTCGCTTACACATATGCAACTTCTTTTCGGTCAATTTAGTGCAAGATGAATAATTTATTTGGATTTTGTTTTAAAGTTTGTGGGGGGTTGGGCTTGCCACAGGCTAGGCCGTCGCCAATGCTGTACTTCCAGGTCAGCGAGCAAGCCGTCCCCGTCCATGTTGTTCTGCTCTCATTCCTACTCATAATTAGTGGATTTACATAATTATAACATTCGTTGATTAATTATTCTATAAGTATTGCTAATATATGAAGAGAGATATGCAATACCAATTCTATACTTTGTGTTTTTTCCTCCACATTTCGTTAACAGATCAACTTAGGTGAATTCGCGATAAAATTTAAGTTACCAGTCGATGGATCTCGATTCTTAATTAGCTATTAAGTATATTCAAGTGGCTATGCTCATATAATACATTAGAATTATTTATACAATTATACCTTTTTCGATTTATTATCTTTTTACAAAGGTAAAAAAAAACACTAATGTTAACTCTCATAAACAAGTACACCGGAAGTATTTTTTTTTTTTTATTTACTCACGGGTCTCATGTGCGAGATTAGTCTGATGTCGAACTTGGAGCTTTTAGAGGAAATAAACAACCTCATGAATTTGCCAATAACGTAGATTTTCTTTTCTTCTTCACAAACGGTGAAAATCTTAATCTAGACGATGATGTCAAAAAATCGATGCATTCGTTTAAGATTTACTTATCGTATATGCATCTAAATTTGGCTCGACGAAATAAAAGTCTTCAAATTCAAATGCAGTACAAGGAGGATAATCTATAGTTTATCCAAATTAAGTCCCAGTTTACCCATCTTGTCCAAGCATTTACAACAAGGAAACTGAACACATCTGTCCGAAACTCTTGCTCTATCATGATTCATGCTACAGCCAAAGCAGAAATCAGTCCAGTGAAACAGAAAGAGAGGAACTTCAATAAATTTCATGGACCGGTCCATCTCAAATCACTCTCTCCGGCACGTAGATGATTACTGCTTCTCCTAATCTGGGAAGGGTTTATTTATTTTTTTATGAACAGCATGGATTATCCGGCAAGTCGAAGAATCCACAACCAAGTTCATCGCTCATGCCGAAACTTCAGGACTATATATTTGAGGACTAATCTTAGGAGTCTGTGTGCCCACTCATCCATTGATCACTTTAACTCTTCATTGCTCTTGAACATTTGCATCTGCTAGTGAAGTCATGGGATGCTTCAGAAACCAATATTGGCTTCTACTGACATTGATCTTCCTTTTGGGAGCTTGGGCTCATCAAGCTGTGGGTCGCACCCCCCAGCGAGAAGATCCCATGTACCAGATGCATGAGCTGTGGATGGCGCGATACGGGCGTGTGTACAAGGACATGGACGAGAGGCAAAGCCGTTTCGAGATATTCAAGGCAAACATACTACGCATCGTGTCGTTCAATCGGGCGGGCGACAAGCCTTACAAGCTTGGCATCAATCAGTTTGCCGACCTCACGAACGAGGAGTTCAAGGCGAGGAACCGATTCAAGTCGCACATGTGCTCCACCGAGGCTGCTTCTTTCAAGTATGGAAATGTCACTGCGGTGCCTTCTAGCATGGATTGGAGAAAGAAAGGAGCTGTGACGCCTGTTAAAAACCAAGGCCAATGTGGTAAGTTGATGGAATTTGGTTCACGAATGAGCATTATTTGCCTTCTCTAATGTATTCGACATTCTTTGACCCAATACGTTGTTAAAACCCCTAATCTTCTTGTAGTTTCTTCTCCAAGATTGTTGTTGTTCTGATTTGATTGTCCTGTTTCCAATGCAAAAATGTAGGATGTTGTTGGGCTTTCTCAGCCGTGGCGGCTGTGGAAGGAATTAATGAAATAACCTCGGGTAAGTTGATCTCTCTCTCCGAGCAAGAGTTGGTCGACTGCGACATCGGTGGCCAGGACCAAGGATGTGAAGGTGGCTGGATGGATAGCGCGTTCCAGTTCATCGAGAAACACGGCCTAACAACCGAGACAAACTATCCCTACGTGGGCACGGATGGCAAATGCAATGTCAAATCGGAATCGAACCGTGCTGTGATCATCAAGGGCTATGAAGACGTTCCCGCCAACAGCGAGGAGGCATTGCTAAAGGCAGTTGCCAATCAGCCGGTTTCTGTGGCCATCGATGCCGGAGGATTCGAGTTCCAATTCTACTCTAGCGGCGTGTTCACTGGAGCTTGTGGGACCGATTTGGACCACGGCGTTACTGCGGTTGGATATGGGACCAGCGATGATGGCACCAAATTTTGGCTGGTGAAGAACTCGTGGGGCGAGGAGTGGGGCGAGCAAGGATACATAATGATGCAGAGAGATGTCAGCGCTAAGGAAGGCCTCTGCGGCATAGCCATGAAGGCCTCTTATCCTACTGCATAAGTATGAATGAAGTCTCTGTATGATGTAAAGATATTCTACCTTGTGTGTTTACTACATTCTGTCATCTTGTGAAGTAACTTGAGTACATGCAAATAATGTGTGATTGGATTGTAATATCCAAATATTCTATTTCGTATCTCTACTGTTCAAGAATTATGGAACCAAATTGAACTTGGCACAGCTAAGTATATGCTTAACGCCCTTTTTCTCTCTATATCACGAATTGTCATGACCTTTCGCCCGTCAATAATTTATTTATGCTGCTCTCACCTCAAAGGCTCGTGCTCTCGTGAAGTCGTGCACTTTCTGGGCGGCTTCGAATAAATGATAGCTTGATAATCTGTCGACAGGAGCCATTGTCCTTACTAGTGTTAGGTTATTAAATGTACAAACCAAGGTTATAGAAAGCGCATTCAGCAATAGTTCCAACTTAAACTTCCGCTTATCAATTTCAGGAGTTCCCCTTTACACAATGGCCAACACAGAAACTTAAAATAGACAAGTTCACTGTAGGTCTTCACATGATGTAATATCTCTCTCCGTTGTGATCAAGGCTCTCTTTCTATCTACACATATGCGACTTCTTTTCATCCAGTTTGAATGCAGTCAGCAAGTAAAGAGCGACCCCAGCGAAATCGCCTGTCGCGGATGGTACTTAACGACGGTTTTTCCTGCCTTAGAGACGGGCTTGACCGTCCCTCTCTTGAGGACAAATTTAAGGTGTTACGATTTTGCCTGTTTATTGTGTTTTTACGTCTTATTAGACTCTTTCGTAATACTTTATCACATTAAGTTGTTCAATTCTTTCGTGTAGGTGCAAATCATACTTTTTACGATTTGTGGCATGCATTTAACAAAATATACCCAATATTTATGATGTAATAAAAACTACTTGTCGACTTTGAAAGAAAAAACCAAGGGAATTGGATGGGGTGAGGATGTTTCGTCTCCGGTGTAGGGTTCGACTCTCACGCTTTACAAAAAGGAGGAGCAAAAGCTTGAGAGAGAAAGAGAGGACAATTAGAGTAGAAATTACCAAAAAATAACTTTGAAAGAAAAAATAACTTCCATGGATGCGGTAGTTTACAAATTGTCCATGTCAACACTGGCTGTGCCACGTAGAATGGCCAACATCCATGACAGCTATTTCCAGCCCAAATTGATCGGAAGAACTACATTGGCAAATCGTCAAAATGTATAAGACTAAATTAGCCAAATTAAAAATTTTATGATTTAATTGGCATCCGTATAATGAATTTATGACTCTTACGGTAATCATCCCTTTGACTATGTATGCTGCAATTTCATCCTACAAATCGACTATAGCCGCACAAAGGGCTATATTTGGGTACATGTGGAAATAGTTTTTTCCCTCGACATTATATTGAAATAATTTCAATAAAATTTTTTTGGACCAAGCGGAGGTGGAGAAGCAAAAGACTCAAGTGGTTCAATCCTCCATTCCGCCGTTTTAAATGCTCACATGCACGCCCATGCAACTCCAATGTGAAAGGTCATCTGTAGTTTGTAGTTTGTACTGACCAAATTTGCCAGCACGCTACGAGTTTGGCCAAGAACGAACGATAAGAACACGTTACAACCTAAGCAGATTGTCCTATATGTCAGCCCACGAACAGAAACTTGGAGCTTCCAGGACATTAATCTCACGAGCCAAGTCTATCTCAGAACATTCTAATCTGGCACGCAAATGGAAACTAATTCATGTCCAATCGGATGTGCCCATCAGGACAGATTATCAGGCAAGTTGATGAATCCCACCACCTGAATTCTTCGTACGGTCCAAGACATAAGGACTATAAATCTGAGGTGCGAATCTGGGATTCTGTGTGCTCACAAACTTATTTGACTTTGCTCTTCTTCATCTCTCACTCCTAACACTGCTCGTGAAGCCATGGCATCGTCGAGAAACCGATATTGCGTCCTAGTGACTATGATCTTCCTTTTGGGAGCTTGGGCTTGCCAAGCCGCGGGGCGGACCCTCCAGCAAGACGATCCCGTGTACGAGATGCATGAGCAATGGATGGCCCGTTACGGGCGTGTGTACAAGGACATGGGAGAGAGGCAAAGCCGTTTCGAGATATTCAAGTCGAACGTGCAATGGATCGAGTCATTCAATAGGGAAAGTAGCAAGCCTTACAAGCTCGGTGTCAATCAGTTTGCCGACCTCACGAATGAAGAGCTCAAGGTGAGGAACCGATTCAAGTCGCACATGTGCTCCACCGAGGCCGCTTCTTTCAAGTACGAAAACGTCACCACGGTGCCTCCTAGCATGGATTGGAGAAAGAAAGGAGCCGTGACGCCTGTAAAGAACCAAGGCCAATGTGGTAAGTTGGTGGAATTAAATTCATGAACGAACAATAGTTTCCTTCATTTATCTATCGATTCTATATCACATTCTTTAAGTCAATATGTTGTTCAAATTGCCTATTATTCTTATAGCAGCTCCAACAATAGTCTTGTCCTAACTTGATTGTACAATCAAATGTAGGATGTTGTTGGGCTTTTTCAGCCGTGGCAGCAGTGGAAGGAATCCATGAAATAACCACAGGTAAGTTGATTTCTCTTTCCGAGCAAGAGTTGGTCGACTGCGACGTCGGTGGCCAGGACCAAGGATGCGAAGGCGGCTGGATGAATAGCGCGTTCCAATTCGTGGAGAAGCACGGCCTCACTACGGAGGCGAACTACCCCTACACGGGCAAGGACAGCAAGTGCGATGCCAAAGGGGAATCGAACCGTACCGTGATCATAAAGGGACACGAGGACGTTCCTGCCAACAGCGAGGAGGCGTTGCTGAAAGCCGTCGCCAACCAGCCGGTCTCCGTGGCCATCGAAGCCTCAGGATCCGAGTTCCAGTTCTACTCCGGCGGCGTGTTCAACGGATTCTGCGGGCTCGTATTGGACCACGGTGTCACCGTCGTCGGATACGGGACCAGCGACGACGGTACCAAGTATTGGCTGGTGAAGAACTCGTGGGGCAAGGAGTGGGGCGAGGAAGGGTACATAAGGATACAGAGAGATGTTGGCGGCAAGGAAGGCCTCTGCGGCATAGCAATGATGCCATCTTATCCTACTGCATGAGTCTGAATTCACTAATATTAGAGATGAACTCATGTGATGTAAAGACACGAGATTTCCCACTTTCTATGTTTATTGGGTACTGCTGTGCCTCGCTGCTTGTAAATTTCGCCTGCATGGTGATTATATAGAGCAATACTATGAAATTTCCTAATTGAAGATGTCTAATTGTTCGAGAAATCTAGAACCAAATTCAACTAAGCACCTGAGCTTAGTATTTTCATACCATATCGTACTTGGGTCTCTGTGTGTGTGTTTGTATCAGTGTCTGTGCAACATTTCTATTGTCCCCTACCCTCAAAATACCGATTTTTTCCGTGCTGATTTTATTTCAGCAAGTGTTGGTAAGTACTTAAAAAAAAAAACTGTGCGATAGAAAATGATCGGCAAGTTGTTGTTCCGGGTAACTGGGTAACTTATTAATACTTTAATGAAATTAAAAAAATTATAATTTATAAATTACCAATTTTGTACTGACTGATCAACTTTATTTATATCCGAATTTATTAACTTCTCAACCTAAAATATATTAATTATTTCGCACCACGCCAATTCTATGATATAGGACTCTCTGACATAAGTCATACGGGTATCACAATAATACCATATTAAATATTTATTAGGAGCACTACTGTGTACCATCGCTAGTGTTGGTGATGGTTCTTCCAATTTATATGACGGTTTCGCCCGTCGCTACACATTTAGTAGTGTATCCTCCTCTTTTTAAGATTAAAATTATGACTTTATAATAAATCCACTTTATTGTGTTTTATGTCTTACTAGACTCTTTCATCCATATTTCCTTATGATTAGTTTTGTTCAATTCATTGATATACAAGCGCATCATACTCTTCCGCAATTTTTGGCTTGCAATTTGACAGAATAAAAAGAACCATCACAATCTCAACGGAATAGCAAGACCTTCCAACTTTTGTGCGATAAAATCGCAACTCCGTATGAACGGTGGCGCGAAGAATTAACTACGTCTATATCGTTGTTGACACCAAAATAAGAATCGGCATAGACGCTGAGTCGGCTTTAATGCCGAATCTGGTGTATAATGGGAATCGGCTATCTTCTGAAATACGTTTGGATAAAATTCGGAAACATGCTGGGAAGCAAGCATAAATGGCATCATATCCCGAATTCGGTAGTTGATGAAGATCGGGATACTTACCGAAACATGGAAAGTCATAGTTCGGGAGTAAAAAAAAAAAAAGCGTTAAAGCATTTATGCCTCGGGAAGTTGGCTTTTTCCCGAAATTCGGGAAGTTTATACTTCGGGAATATACCGAAATCATAGAAAATCGGTAAAGATGAATCACGGCTCAGCCACGTAAATCATGATAGCAGGAAGTTATGAGCGAAAAGCGAACATAGTGAGCACGAGCATATTGTGGGGAGTTACTTGCCCAAATTTGAAGTCATCCCAGCGGTTGAGATCAAGTTTTGATGGACAATAAAACTGGAAAAACGTGATTAGAAAAGGCAGTTATTGGAAGCGCCAAAATTCAAAGTTTGAAAACATGGAAGTAACCGACGAGCAGTTACAAGATATGAGGAGATACAAATACTTAGAAGAAAGAAAGAGGGGAGGATGGACAACAAGGCAAAAACACTCAAGCTTATCTGCACTTTAGTTTCCTCTGAATCTTTACTTCCTGCATTTACAACTTCCTGCAACTCTAGTTAACTTTCAAGTCCTTTACAGCTTTCATAGGAGTATTGTAATGTAGCTTGGAACTTTGTTGATCTCAGATCCATTTTCAATCCATTCGAATTATATCTATTCCATATAACCTTGTGCACACTTTGTTTCCTTCTTTGCCACGACTCTCCTAGAAATCAAGTCACAGAACCTATCTTAATAAAAATCGAAAATCAAAGTTTCGGTGAAAGATATTCCTCGTCGTAAAACGAGCGAACAATCGTGAAAAACTTTAACGCTTTGCAAGTACATTATAGCCGCGCAAATCGCAACATCTCAGTATCACACGTTCAATTTATTAGAAAGTCATCCTGAGTTCATACTGATCAAAACTTAGTCTTCTCAAAAGTCATCGTTTGCTTCGTTTGATGCGAGAAATTATTGCAGTGATTGAACATGCTACGAATTGGCCAAAAAAGACAGTAAAAACGTGTTGAAATCGAAGCGCATAGACCAATTTACCAGCCCCTCGCGCAGGAACAAAGGAGCCTCCATGACATGAATCTCACAAGCTAAGTCTGTATCAGGACATTCTCTCTGGCACGTTGATGATTGATCACTGCTTCTCTTGATTAAAGCTGATTCATCTGACTAATTTCGATGTACCCTTCAGGACAGATTATCAGGCAAGTCGATGAATCCACCTCCAAATTCGTTGTACGATCCAAAACATTAGGACTATAAATTTGAGGTGCAGCCTAGAGTTCTGTGTGCTCACAAAACTTATTTACTTGCTGTTCTTCAACGCCCCTGACTTTGCTAGCGAAGTCACGGGATCGTTTAGAAACCGATGTTGCATTCTAGTGCCTTTGATCTTGCTTCTGGGAGCTTGGGCTCCACAAGCCACGGGTCGCGCCCTCCAGCAAGAGGATCCCATCTACGAGATGGACGGGGGCAGTGGATGGCCCGTTACGGGCGTGTGTACAAGGATGCGGAAGAGAGGCAGAGCCGTTTCAAGATATTCCAGGCGAATGTACAAGGCATCGAGTCGTTCAATCGGGCAAACAACAAGCCTTACAAGCTCGGCGTCAATCAGTTCGCCGACCTTACCAACGAAGAATTCAAGGCGAGGACCCGATTCAAGTCGCACATGTGCTCCACCGAGGCAGCTTCTTTCAAGTACGAAAACGTCACCGTGGTGCCTTCTAGCATGGATTGGAGAAAGAAAGGAGCTGTGACGCCGGTTAAGAACCAAGGCCAATGCGGTAAGTTGATGGAGATTAGTTCATGACTGAGCATTATTTGCCTTCATTAATCTATTCGACATTCTTAGAGCCAAGATGTTGTTAAAACTCCTAATGTTGTCATGGTATCTTCTCCAAGAATGTTTGTTGTTCTGATTTGATTGTCCTGTTTACGTTGCAAAATTGTAGGATGTTGTTGGGCTTTTTCAGCCGTGGCGGCTGTGGAAGGAATCAATGAAATAACCACGGGTTAGTTGATTTCTCTCTCCGAGCAAGAGTTGGTCGACTGCGACGTCGGTGGCCAGGACCAGGGATGCGAAGGCGGCTGGATGGATAGCACGTTCCAATTCATCGAGAAGCACGGCCTCACGACCGAGACGAACTATCCCTACAAGGGCACGGATGGCAAGTGCAATGTCAAGTCGGAATCAAACCGTGCCGTGGTTATAAAGGGCTATGAAGACGTTCCCACCAACAGCGAGGGGGCATTGCTAAAGGCAGTTGCTAATCAGCCGGTCTCCGTGGCCATCGACGCAGGAGGATTCGAGTTCCAATTCTACTCTAGCGGCGTGTTCACCGGCACTTGTGGGACCGACTTGGACCACGGCGTTACCGCCGTCGGATACGGGACTAGCGATGATGGCACCAAATTTTGGCTGGTGAAGAATTCGTGGGGCGAGGAAGGATACATAAGGATGCGGAGAGACGTCAGCACTAAGGAAGGCCTCTGTGGCATCGCGATGAAGGCCTCTTATCCTACCGCATAGATTTGAACGATGCCATATAGCTGCATGCAATGTAAAAAATGGTAAAGGTTTTCAGTTCAGGGCCTTGTCTTATACCTATGTTTGACATGATAGAAAGTCTCATTAGGGACGTCGATCGATGTCGCAAGAAATCAATTAAGTTCCTGGGAACGGTCGGTAAGAAGAGAATCATCTCCTACCAATTTTGAGGAGTCTGCCTAATTACTCAGCCATCAAATCATTTTGCCGGTATCTTACATGGGGGTCACCCAAGAACCGGCGAATTTGAAATTTCCTTCTTGAAAGATATGTCTCATGCTCTGCTCGTTCGAACCACCGCGTAATGAAATCCACCCAGGTACGACTTGCCATCTGACAGAAACAGTCCGAACACTTCACAGTCTGCTTCACTTAGGGCCCGTTTGGTTCGGCTTTTCAAATGCAACTTGGGAGAATGCAAATACCTTTAGGTGAAAGCCACTTGGGGAAATGTAAGTGGTGTTTGGTAAAAAAAAATTTGTGAAGCTACTTTGGCCTAAGTAGTGTTTGGTAAATTTTTTTTTGCAAAGAGCTTTGGCAATTTTTAGTTTTAATATTCCGATTTTGCCCCTATTACTGTTCATCTTCTTTACCGGCGAGGGTGGCCGGCGAGGGCAGATCTGGCCGGCGAAGCACCGGCGAGGTCGCCCGACCCAGGCGACGGCCGCTCGGGGTCGAGCGACCGCCCAGGCGGCCGTCGCCGGGGTCGCGCGACCCAAGCGACCATCGCCGGGGTCGCGCGACCCAAGCGACGGCCGCCTGGGTCGCAACCCAGGCCGACGTCGCCTGAGGTCGCGCGACCCAGGCGATGACGCCTGGGTCAGGCGACCTCGCCGGCCCTTCGCCGGCCAGATCCGCCCTCGCCGACCGTTCGCCGGCCACCCTCGCCGGCCACCTGAAGAAGATGAACAGTAACAGGGGCAAAACCGGAATAAAGAAATTTGAGTGAGGGCAATTTGGGAAGAAAAAAATAGGCTTCAGCATTTGTGGAATGCTGAAAGCCCAAAGCTGGTCTGAACCAGCTTTGGGCTTTCAACATCCCAAATGCTAACTTTCGGCTTTCCGTTCCCTGAACCAAACAGGGCCTTACTCCAAATCAATCCCCACAGAGCAGAGAATGAGGATCATATAACAGATGCCACATTTTGTTCAGAACAGATACTTCAGTCTTCAGACTAGCCCTCAGCCTCAACACCACTAAATCGATGTAACTATGACACCGACATTTCATCTAAAATCAGGCTAATACAGCTCAGGTAAGGGTGAGCGGTTCCCGGTCCGGTCTGGTCCGCGGTCCAACCCAAGAACCGGGAACCGGACCGGTTCCCAGTTTCTAGGACCGGGCACTGGACCGGCTAATCTTGGGACCGTAGACAGGACCGAACCATCAGTCCGATCCGGTTCCAATGGGACCAATATTAAATATTATTTGTGAACCGAAAATCGATTGCTCCATTCTTTCCTTTGTAGTTCTAATTTGATCTCATAAAACCATCACAAATATTGAAAAAATATATATATAATTTATGAAAAAATTGAACAATCGGTTCCATTGGGATCAATATTAAATATTTTTCATATATATATTAAATATTATATATTTGAAAAAATTAAAAAAATATATATTTATCAGTCCAGTCCGATCCCCACCCTAGAACCGGGAACTGGACCGCCCGAAAACCGGTTCCACTTTTAGAAACCGGGAACCGGACCGATATTCCCGGAAACCGGACCAAACCGATCGGTCTGGTCCGGTCTCAATTTAGGCGGTCCATCTTGCTCACCCCTAAGATCTTGCTCACCCCTAAGCTCAGGCTTCCATACTCCCGCGTAAAGAAACTTACGTTTGCTGAGATCACATCAATTTTGATAAGCAGCATAGAACCAGATATCGCTTGTCTTCTAGCAAAAAGAGTATGCCGATTGACATCCAAGAAAGTTTCATTAAAACACACGATGAAGTTATTACTAGGGCAAAAAGGGTCCATGATCTGTCATTAGCTCAACAGGCACAAACTCGCAGTAATTCAGACAGGGAAATACGATACAATAACCCACATACCGTACTTAGATGCACGATAATACATTATCACATGCAAACATGCGCTTTAGCTTTATCATCAAAAAGCTTCAATTGGCAGACTGTCGCAGCTCAGGTCGGACAAAGTTTGCATCTGCAGACACGGAGATATCAACGGTAGGTCTCAACTGTGAGCAAACTTCAATTGCTCCATGCACCGGATCTGACAAGAAGTTGCTGATGAGGTCCCGGTTAATTGGGGTACCATTGTCCACAGCAACTAAAGCTTGTTGAGTCAGGATGTAATCAAATCGGGGAGCCCACTTCCTTGACCCAAGACGAGCTGTGGTCGAACAATTGTCGACCATAAAAGAGACTCCACGAGCATGCATGAAGGGGTTTAAAGAATCAACTGCCTCTATAACACTCTCATTAATGATCTCAGAGTAGGAGTGTCCTTTCTTCCTCAACATTTCAATCTGCACAAACATTACACCTCACAAGAGTAAGACACTACAACGAATAAAGGATCTCCTGTTTAATTACTATGCTTATGGTTGTAAAACTGTACTAGTAAGGCAGACAAGAGAATCTAGATGTGCATATAGTAAATTAAAGCAAGCCATAATGCGCATTCCCATCCAGATAAGAAAATATAACAGCTTAAGATGGCTTCTATCCCACCAAAAAAATATCGATAAGTAAAGAACCTCGAAAATTGAAGAAACTAGCATGGGAAGTATTCATCTTCCGTGAGATTAAGATTACCAAGCCAACCAAATTGAGCTCCAAGATACAGAGAGAAATCCTCACCTGGGCCATCATCAATGCAACAAAGACACCAGCTGTGAAAGGAAATAATGGACCAAGGTCACCAGCTGGTCTTGCTGCTCGCACGCGCTCACCCACTTTCCACATGCGGGTCTGATCTATCTTGCCCATTGGGAAAGCAGGTAGACCATCCTTTTCCTGTAGCGAAAGGATAAGAAAATCTTAATCTGCAAAATGGATGCTTTATACTCTTGTTCTATCAAATCGAGAGTCAAAATCTATCAAAGAAAAACATACATAAAAGCGCCGTCCAGCAAGTACAACGCTGCGAATCTCACTACCACTGGCAACATCTTCATAGCACTCATACAAGATGTCCATGCAAGGATAGTACGATGCACTGTATGCCATCTCAAATTCTTTCTTTCCTTCATCAGACAGTAAATTGTAAACAGCCAACATGCCCTGTTGAGAAAATGACCAGAAAACAAAATTAAACACATTGACCCAGTAACTGGTCATATACATCTCCCTAACAATGGTATCAGTGGCATCCAAGAGTCAGGGAAAATAGAAAGGAGAAGCTATCGATTTTATCACCAAAAAGCAACCTGCGTTGAAATGGTCTTCGAGATGATGCCAGTTATACACTCAACAGTATTTTTGTACGCCAGATCTTCACTCATTCCATTTTCAGTGTACCTTCTGAACAGGGATTCCACAACTCCATGAACAGCACCAAGTAAAATGCCTAAGAGCAAGGCAAGCACAAATCAAGCATCATTCGCATACTTGCAACACAGAAATCCATATAACTGATATCCGTAATTGTCGATAGATATCTTATCATCTTATTTAGGATTCATCCCACTTAAATAAGAATGGAGCTAAACTCACCACGCTCCCCAAAGATATCACTTTTGTACTCCTGCTCCAAAGTTGTGACAAATGTAAATGGAGAACCAAGTGCAACCGACCAACCAAGGGCAACGTCAGTGGCCCTTCCATCAACATCCTGTATTCAAGAAACTTAAGTCCCCCATTTTCGCTTAAGTGGGTTGGGAAGAGATGGGCGCTATACTTTTTGTTTCAGCATGCTTACCTGGTGGACTCCGAAACTGGAATTGATTCCAGCACCATTTATCTCTTTGCCTTGGACATAGAGTCTCCTTACAGAGGGACCCATTCCCTTGGGGCATACAGCAATCACGCTGATGTTCTTTGGGAAGTCAAGTCCCATAGATTGCAAATGCCCCAAAAGGAACCCGTGAGACAGACCTAGGATGCTGTTTGGCTTCATGTGAGAAAATACTTTCTCATAGTTATCCGCCTGCGGCATTACACGGAATTTGGAGATTCAAAAACAAGGGAAAGAACTAAGGAAATAAAGTAGTCTAGGACTCTAGGGGAGTGGTGGAGACCAAATGCAGAGTTACAACTTCTTTGGATAGTTTCATCAGTGATTTGATATACACTTGTCCAGGTAAACAATCGTTACAAACCTGTGCAGCATCAGAAATCAGTAGCAACACAAGATCACTTCCTGAAATGGTTTCCCATATATCACCCAGTGTCCCATTCTCCTCAGAAAATCCTGCAGCACGAGCTTCAGCAAAAGATCGGGAACCTTTTCTGAGTCCGATCTGTAAAAAACGATACGGTGAGGTGAACTTTCCCCTTAAAATGAGAGTCCAAACAAACACAATCAAGAACTGTGGACCAGCTAAGGGTTTGATTGTGACCAACAACCTTTTTAAGTTATTTACATAACCTAAAGAGATATATTACCTTAACCACAATATCAGACTTCGCTTCAGCCAGAGAATCTCTCAGATTTTGGGCTTGAGCAGGACCCTAGAAAAGTACGCTCATTAACAGATAGAAAAAGCAAAAATAAGAATGCATAAAATGTGAAGATGTTATAACCAAACTCAACGAAAAGGTTGGAAGAGGAAAACCATTTTGTACATGTTATTTACCATGCTTCCACTGGAAAGAGTGTGGATTTCACAACCTTCTTCGAGACTCTAATAACTCCCAAGATTACATAGTCCCTTGGTTGTGTCTCATTTTTCCACTTATGCAATAACTTAGCTGTTCTGCTATATCTTAAAAGAGCAGAAACTTTACAGAAAAAAGAACTACCTCAAAGACCTCTAAGAGCTGAAGCCCACATAACGTCCCAAAAGAAGTAGGCAGGAGAAATTGCCGAAATCATGAAAGAATATCCAATGAAGCCGCAAAAATCGACCAAACAAAAGCCAGAAACGAAAGGAATGAGCTGAGAGATGGTACCTGAGAACCCCATCCAATGACGCCGATCTGCTTAATTCCCTTGAACACGTCGGGCAGCAGTGGGAACAAGTCCCTCCCTCCTCTCACGATGTACTACAACAGGTGAAGAGCAGAACAGTCAATGGATGTTTCGACGAACTTAAGAGCAGCAACTTTCATCCTTTCCATCGTGCACCGTAAAGACGCAAAACTGGTTCTTAGAAATGCAAATGGTACGCGTGCATAATGAAAGAATCAACTTCTAACGAGATAACCATGCACAACCACATATGAAATCACGTCGAGGACTGAAAAGGGCACATCTTCAAATGATCTTCCTCTCATTCCTCTGCTAGACACCAGAAAGAAGCAAAACCGGTTTCCCAGACGTGCAAATGGTACATGCTTAATGGAAGAATCAACTTCTAACCAGACGTCCATGCATAAACAGATACATTTACAGCATGAACAAACAGAAACAGGTTGAGCCAGCGAAAACGGAGTCCAAAAAAGAAACATTTCTGAGTGATCTTCCTTTCATTTTCTCTGCTCGACACCGTCCACCTAACCTAAAACTTTAGGCACAACACAGAGTCACTAAGGAGAAAAGTCCTACGCCGCTCATCTTATCTACGCAGATACGTAACGATCAGAACAACGGCAAGCAGCAGCAAAAATACCTCGTCGTGACCAGCGAGCGTGACCTTCTCCTTCTTGAACACCGATGTCTCGAAGTCCAGCGACGTGAGCGGCTTGATGGCCGGCACGGACACCATGCGAGCCCCCAGGGCCGAGCCTCCGGCGCCATTTCCGGCGGCAGCGGCGGAGGCGGCGGCGGTGGCGGCGGCCCTTAGGGCCTTGGAGGAGGACGAGGAGAGGAACCCCAGGCCGGAGCGAGCGGGGGACATGGCGAGGGCCCTGGCGGGGGACGATTTCGAGGAGGCCGCGGCGGAGAAGGACGGTGAGAAGGAGGTCGCCGCCGACGCCATTGTTGAGCAGGAGGAGGCGCAGTGTGATCGCGGGAGGCAAGGGCTGGAAAGAGGAGACGAAGATGGCGACTTTTCGAAGGGCCTTTATAGTCGAGGGATTTCGGGGGTGACGAGCGAACCTCAGGAGTAACCCGGAGGCCGGATTCGGGTCGGGCAATAAATTGACCCGATTCGGTATTTGCAAATTCAGAATTGATGTGTTCAATCTGGATGAGAAGCTTATCAACTCAAAACATTTACCAGTATTGAACCCCCAATATGATCTTCGAATAAGCATGAATAGCTAATGCAATTTTGAGATTGGTACCGCATGATACTTTCACTCCGGTCCGTATGTTGGGCCAGGATAGGAAGATTACAGAGCGCGTGAAGTAAAGGCACGAACTTGAAGAGCAACCGAGTCAGGTAGGTTTGATTTAAGTTTTTTTTTTTTTTTTCGTTTGAAGTGAATTGCTATGATTGTATTTGGGTCACACACGTTTGGCACCTCTTTGCCAAAGGAGGGATAGGGAAAATCGTCGAAGCAAATAGTGACGCGGAGTTTATAACGGATAACTCTTGTTAAATTCACCCTGATCAATATCTTTTTTTTTACGATAAAGAATGTTAATAAGGGAATTTTACTATGCAAAAAATAGATCTAATTGCGATTCGATTTGAAGCAGGCAAATTGGGTCGATCGCATTCAAGTCGGACCTTCCCTTCGAATTTCTTGGCGCTAGATCGAGATCAAGATCGGTCCTCGGACTCAAACTCGAGTCACGTGCTCGATTGGAAAAAGAAAAGAAACGATAAAAAAAATAAAGAGGAAAAATGTCTCACGGGTGTGTGCGACAGGGCGTGCGTGGGGCTGCGTCGCGGCGGACAGAGGCCGAGAAAGGACACGAGTTTCGAGGATCATAATTACAGCGACGGGGTTAAAGAAGATGCCCCCCCCCCGTTCTTTAAGCTCGTCATATTTCTTTCTCTGTCTTTATTGCCTCTTTCTCATCCAAAACCGTCGTCGTTTCTGAGGCTCTGAAAAATTAGAAATCGGATCGTTTGTCAATCCAACCGAGTAGGTGAAAAAACTGCCTCAAAAGGAAGGAGCGTGATTCTACGGTCAAGATATCGCGTTTTCTGGGTCTGGGTCTTCCGCCGTCAGATCGAAAGGACGATAAAAAGATGTCGTTTTCACTCTTTCATTAGTAAGATCCGATTTTATAGCTTCTTTCATCCTCGAAGCTTTCATTTGGCAGACAGTCGCAGGTGAGGCCGGGCATAAGTCCGCGTCACTAGAGGCACGGAGATATCGACCGTAGGCCTGAACTACACGCAAACTTCGATCGCTCCGTGCACCGGATCCGACCGGAAGTTGCTGATGAGGTCGCGGTTGATCGATCGGGGCGCCGCTGTCCACGGCAACCGGAGCCTGTTGAGTCAGGATGTAATCGAACCGGGGGGGGAGGGGGGGTGGGGGGGGCCCACTTCCTCGACCCGAGTTGAGCCCGTCGTCGAGCAATTGTCGACCATGAGAGCGACTCCGCGGGCGTGCATGAAGGGGGAATCGATCGCTACTATGACAGTCTCATCAATGATCTCAGAGCAGGAGTGTCCTTTCTTCCTCAAGATTTCAATCTGAACAGGACTGTAAGACATATTGGGTAGATCGCCCAAGATGGGCCAAACCCGGCGCGTGAGCCACAAGGGCCCACGAGGTAGTTATTTGCCTATCTATAATAGAAGGCACCCCTTGGAAAACAGACGTGATTTTTATATATGCAAACACACTCCTTCGATACAACGTCTTCTCTGTTTTCCTTCAGAACGCACGTGAGTACGAAAGACGATCGAAGAACTCTCAAGCGCAAAAGAGGCACTTAATCTGTGACAATACCGGGTATGTTCGTTGTGTGATATGCATGTACGATCGGTGATACAAGTTGATGATCCTTGGGCACGTTTTCCGCATTGATCGAATTCATTCCGAATATGTTTCGAACGTGACGATCGGGGATTGAGTTTTCCCAACATTGGTATCAGAGCCCGTTTACTTGTTTCCCGATCATGCATATGTATCGTCTGAAGTGTATACTGCTTGTTGTTTCGTTTTGGCCTTGTTTTTTGTTCGTTTTCTTCGCGTCGCCGAACTGTTCATGCTTGTTTCGATTTTTGTTTTTTGTCAAAACTTGAATTTTATTGCATAAACAGAAAGTACTCGTCGAGATGAGCAAAATAAGGGGCGGCACGTCGCCGGAGGAGGCCGCACGCGCCCTCACGAGCCTCCAAGGGACTTCGGCGCGACGGCGCGTGAGGCCCACGCGTGGCCGTGTGAAACGGCGCATCGGTAGCCACTAACCGCCGACGATGACGTCAGCGTGACGTCATCGGGAGCGGACCGTGACCCGACCCGTTGACCCGTGACCCGACCCGTTGACCCAGACCCGATTGAACGTTGACCCGACTCGATTGACCGTTGACCGACCCCGGTTGACCGTTGACCGTTGACTGGTCAACGGTCGGACTGGTCAAACCTGTCGAACCGGATCGGTTCAAACCGGGCAGAATGACCCCGTTATTTCTTTGGGCCCGTTCGAGCTCATTTGAACTCCGATTTGGGCGTTCTTGGTATCGATGTGCTCGTATCAGAATGCTCTACGTTATGGTGTATTCATATTACATTTTTGCTGCACTTATGAATGTGAAAATGCACGATAAACCCTATGTACACGTACGTAGGGGTATATTCTTTGGCATTTTCTCTAGTATTTCTCTATAGTTTTTTGAAATACAAGTGCTAGATCATATGTATATGAATAAGAATTCATTATCTTAATGTATCATGGATTATAAGTAATCCTTTGTTCTGCATTCGTTGCAGGAACAATGGTACATTTGAGACGCACTCCATAATCCCAAGAACGGCAGCTCAAAAGGAGAAGCTTGAGAAGCTAAGAATCAAGCTAGCTCTTTATCGATGGGACGCTAGAGATGATATGATGTCACACATCATCAAGGTCAACAAAATGATACAGGATATCATTTGGAACGGTTTTGTAATGCCGGAATATGTAATGGTCGGAGCCCTAAAATGCACTATTTCTGAAGAGTTGGGAAGAATGCTTGATAAGGTTAAAGAAACCTTAAAGGGTCCAAGCTATAAGATGCTTGTGGAGAATTTTCTGCAACAATACATAAAGGTCGGGGCAAGGAGAACATCAACCCTTGCATTGAATGGGTCTCGGCGCAAATCATGGCCCGGATCTAGGGGTTTTCCGGGAGCCTCTGTTTATGTTCCGAAGAAAATAAAACTTTCTAAAGAATTTTATGAGTCCTTTCATGTCTATGTGTTGGATTGGTATACTTGATATTGTTCTTTTAGGATTTGGAATCAATTCTGTATATGTTTCAAGTTGATATTACATGTTCTTAAATATTTATGAATGTGTTATGAAATATATATATGGCTATGAATTTTTGTGATTTCTCATTTTATATTGCCATATTATGTGTTATATTATATGTGGGAAGTTCTTAAAAGTTTGAATAACTTTTGAAGAACCAATTTCTTTACATAAATGATTATGTAAATGGTAATTTCAAATTAGGTTTGTTAGACGATGATTGGGAACATAGTGAACTTTCGACTCTAAGACCTTTTGTGAAACTATTCATTAATATGATTAGTTTATGTAATCATGATGCTGATGAAGTATTTAGATAGGCTTTAATAACTCGTGCGTATGTGTCTGAAATGTTCAGATACGATGGCTTCAGCAACTAAGAACATAGTGGCTGAACTTAATAAGGGAGAAAAAATTGAATGGCGACAATTATGAGATTTGGAGTCTCAAGATTCAATATGTGCTGGAAGAGCAAGAGGCACTCGAAGCTCTTAACCGATTATGGAAGAACCCGAGGATGGGACAACCGCCCAACACAAGAGGGACAAAGATGCCTTTCTTGTTTGGAAAAGAAAGAACTCTCTTGCTCGCATTACGTTGCTAAGCGGCATGGACAATGACATCATGCGAGAGTTCGGACGTTTCCAGAGCACCAAAGACATGTGGGCTGCACTGGCATCAAGATTTGGTCGAACTTCTGTGACCAAACTAAGACAACTCACTATCCGTTTCGACTCATATAATATGTCTCATGGAAAGACCATGAAACAACATTTGAGGCAGATATCGAATATGATTAGTGAGCTAAAGGATACCGGGCACATACTCACTAATGAACAAGAGGCGAGTAATCCGCTCTTTGCCTCAAAGCGGGAGCACATGAAGATCCATTTGACCCACAATGAGGGTATCAAGACTTTCGAGGATGCTATGCGGCATCTTGAGCTGGAAGAGGATCGCCTCATGGCGGCTAAGCCAGAAACTGATATTTACTTTGCTGGTTCTAGCTCGCATGGAGTTTCGGGCTCCAAGAGGAAGCACCCTGCTGGGTCAAAGAAGTGGAAAGGCAAGGGGCCAAGTCCTTCAGGGAAGAAGCCGAGGCTCAACCAACGGGAGAAAGGAAAGCATCCTTTCAAGAAGAACATTTCAAGAGTGAAATGTTTCAACTGTGGCAAGAAGGGTCACTTTGCTCTCGACTGTGGCGAGCCAAAGAAGACTCGGGAGCCACAGACCATGTAGCGAAGGACAGAGAAGCTTTCGTGAAGTTCCGACGAGTTCCACAAGGAACGAAGTGGATATACGTGGGGAACAATTCAAGAGTGGAGGTCAGAGGCATTGGCACCTGTCAACTACTTATGCGCGGTGGACGCACATTGTTCCTACATGATGTGCTATTTGCTCCAGAGATTCGTCGGAACTTAGTTTCGGTGTTGGTTTTAGTTAGACTTGGTTTTAATGTAAACTTCCATAACAATGGTGTAGACTTGTGTTTAGGTACAAGTTATTATGGTTCCGGATATTTCTTAGATGGTTTCATTATATTAGATGTTGACTATTGTGAAGTTAATGTTAGTTATTCCTTATTTACATCATCTGATTCTTATGAGAATGATGTGAACGTGTGGCATGCTAGACTTTGTCATATTGGCTAAC